TGTGATTTACAGCCTTGAAAACTCAATGAGGGTCGTTGTGAGTCAGAACCAACTCCATTCTGGTAAGTTGAGTTTTAGCTTTCATTCTAAGGCATGGTTCTTATTACTACTATTGGTATCTTATTTTTCTTTACAAGTTCCTACATCTTTGTTCATTGAGAATAAAAGAATCTGCACATTCTATATTTGATTTATGAAGGACAAAGCTTCATCATCCTTGCTTCCAAGGAGCAATCTGAATGCACCCTTTTCAGGGCATAGCTGTTTGTTCTTTTGACAGCTCTTGGGATATTTCATACCCTACTCCAGCACCACAATTCAAGGCATCAATTCTTTTTCTGTCATTCTTAATCATTGTCCAGCTCCCTGCTGCATAGCAGATGAATCAGGCACACTTTAGTCTTCAAACTGATGTCATTTTTCTTCATTATTTTGGAGAGGTTCCTGACAGCAGACCTTCCCAGTGCAATACATCTGCTGATTTCCTGACTGCTGGTACCAAGGGTGTTGACTATTGATCCAAGCAAGATGAAATAATTGACTACTTCAATCTTTTCTCCATGTATCATAATGTTGACTGTTGGACCCATGGTGAGAATCTTTGTCCTATCGATGGTGAGATACTTAGAGGCAAGGATGATGAAACTTTTTCTTCCATACTTTGGACATGTGACTAGGCAAGGCTAATCCCTGAAACATCATGTTTGGAAAGATAGTCAGCAAAGGAGAGGTAGACCCCAAATGACACGGATTGACACTATAACTTCAATAATGGGCTCTAGTGTCTCAAAGATGTTGAAGATGGCCCAGGATAGGGCAGGGTTCAGGTTGGCTGTTCACAGGGTCTCCACTAGTCATACTTAACTCAAGAGCACCTAACAATAACAACAACATATTTGATTTAGGAAGCTGTGATGACTTAGTGGTAAGAACTTGTACTGCCAACCCCAAAGCATAGATTCAAATGTACTGGTTGCTCTACAGCACAAAGATGGACAATCTCCTCCTGTGCAACTTCCTGTCTCTGCAAACCCACTGCATGTGAGTTAGTTTCAACTCGACAGTACACAACAACAACAGGTTTGATTTAGGCCACAAATGGCTAAACTATAGAGACCAGGAAATAGAAAAACACAATTGACATTCGTAATGACTTCGGTTCACTTTATTTAATGATGTTGTTGTTGTTGTTATGTGCCATCGAGTCG